TATTTTTTTATTTTTTTAATTTAAAAAATCATTGAGAGAATATATTTTATTTTTAATTAAAATAAATTTTATCAAAAATCTTTTTTAAATGTAAGAATTTTTTCGTAAATGTATGTAATTTTTTGGTATATTTGTTTATTTTTATAAATCTAAGTACTCTTTTGGTTCAAAAAATATTTAGAGACTTAATCGTTCAAAATATGAAAGTCTGTTGGCTTTTTTCAGACTTTTTTATTATTATTTTACCACATTAACCAGTTATATATGTCATAAGAATATGTCTAACAGGTTTTAGAAAATCCAATGAGTTATTTAACATGTTTTAAAATGTCCAATGACTTATTTATTCTATAAAATTGTTCAAGAACTTAATCATTCCAAACACTAAAGTCAATTGAGTTTTTTAGACTTTTCCCTAAAAAAATGCATTTTCTTAAGTGGAATCAACTTTTCGAGAAAAAAACTATTGTGTTTACGTGTTTGATCTTCGTTTATTTTTCATCCTTTATATACGGTCACCGTTTCTTGATCTATTTTGTTATGTTATAACAAGTGGACCATTTTATTACATGCATAAGGTTACATGATGCATTATTGGAACATTAAATTAATGATGACAAAACTAAATCTTTTAAAAGATTAACCCCAAAATTAAGAAAAACCCTAAAAAATAAAAAATAAAGACAATGTGTTCAACCTCTAATTTGTCTGCATTTGTCAACACCTGACCACGTCCTTCCCCTCTTTAATTAAAAGAAATTCAAATTAATAACATTGTTTTATATATGTAGATAACTTTTAATCGATTATTTCATGTTGCAATTAAAAAAGGATAGCTATAATGCTCCCCATGTTGTTTTATTGTGAATTAAATATAATTCCAATGAATTAAACACGTTAAGTTCCATAGGATTACAACTATAAAAAGACTAGTGGCATCAATATATTTTTCACACAAATCTTTCAAATAAACAATTGAGTTTTTTCTTAAGGATGGCACTGTCAGGAAAGTTAATCGGGCATGTAGAGATCAGTTCAGGTGGGAAAGTGCTCCATGATCTCTTGAGGCACGAACCAAACAACCTATCTTCCATTTGCCCCGAGAAGGTACATGGTTGTGATTTGATAAGCGGTGAAAGAGGTGCTGTCGGATCCATCATTTTGTGGCACTATACCCACGGTACATACATTCTTATTATGCAAACTCCACTTTGTTTTGCCAACATTAATGAACTCGCCACACACATGATTTGAAATCTAGGTTATTATAAGCGACCCCTATAAAAATATCAGTCATACCTAGCTTCACTTTTGTGTATGCTATGTCATCATTATGTGATTGTTTTATTTTTTTCTGCATGAGAATAGATGGAAAAAGGAAAACTGCAAAAGAGATAATTGAAGCAGTCGATGAGACAAACCACACCGTTGTGTTTAAGGTAATCGAAGGAGAGATAGTCGAGGAGATATACACAGCATTTAAATTATCGTTTCACGTTGAACCAAAGCAGAATGGAAAACAACTGGGCATTTGGACCTTTGAGTTTGAGAAACCAAATGTTAGTGTGCCCTATCCAACTTCTTTGATGGACTATCTTTGTGATCTTATCAAAGACATGGATGACCATGCATGCACCACTAAATAGGCTGGTCTCCAACTTCAAGTAACTCAACGGATGGGTATGTTATGTTATGTATGTGTTTACCTAATAAAAACCTCAAGTATATGCATGGAAGTATGTTCATGGACATGTATGATGCATTAAGTATCGGGGTAATGATGTTTATGTCGTAATGTTGGTTCCACTGTTCCTTTTTTTTATTGTTTGTAATATGAATATATGAAATCCTTAAGTTCTGTTTGCGATTATTTTATTACTATTGCTGTTATTTTTGAAAACAAGAACGACATCAAATAATCTATTCTAACGATAAATCTTCACGAGATATTCAAAATTTAATTTAAAAGAGGTATTTTGATTTTAAGATAGAAGTTAAGTAAGAAAATATGTAAGAAGGAGAGGCGATTAGTGTTTGTTTCGAGAGATGGAAAACTTTTAACTATAATTACATGTAATTATGTTTATGTTTATCATCTAAATTTATTAAATACAACAATTAAATAACCAAATGTAAACACAAAATTTATTTTCTACCATTGTTTATAATTTTTCTATTTTTTTTATTAGTACAGTTTATTTAAATTCGTCAGTATATATTCTTTAATTTTTGCGTATTCGATATTATGTAACTTCATATTATTATAAATAAGTTTGTAATTTAAAGAAAACTAGACAGGTACTCACACAATGCAGCGAGATACATTTTGATTTTAATATTTTGTTTTATTATTTATCTCAGTCGATGTTATAATATGGTTTTATGTGATTTTGAAAATGTGATAATGTTTTTATTTTTGAATAAAATATAAATTTGAAGATATCATAAAAATTTGACAAAAATATATCGATATTAGTATCAAATTAACTATTTAAAATTTCTTATTTTTTGTGTAATTTTTTAATTATAATTTAATTTAGGCTCAATAACGAAGTAATTTATATTTTGTTTAATAATATAATTTTTTTTATAAAGATAGTAATTAATTATTTTGTTAGAACTTGATAATTATCCTAGTTATATTTTAGGTTTTTTATATTTTAAAATGAGATGTTTATTCTTTATTTGATTATGTTTATCTGCAGCTAGTTAAACGAATTCAAATATGGAGCTTTAATAAGTTGTACTTACGCACAATCTACTTGCAATCTTGAGTTTTAAGTAATATGCATTAATAAACAGTACTTTACGCATAAAAAGTTGTTTTTAAGAGTTTTTGTCAAATGTTTTATAATATAGTATAGATATAATTTTGCTAAAAGAAATATACCAAACAATAAATGGATATACACAATTAATTACAAACAATCATATTAGGGCAAATTCTTTTGAAAACTTTTAATTTATGAGATCCGTAAGATCTAAGAGTATCTTCAACAAATTCTCAAAAACAGAGAATCAAAAGTCAAAATCTGTAAAAACATTTATATTTTTTCTCCAAAAGCTTCTCCATTTTGAAGATTATAATATAAATTATATTATTAAAATATTAAATATCTTTCATTAAAAATTATTTCTCTCTCCAACACATTTAATTTCAAGGATTTTCATTGGTAGTAAAAATCATAAATAATTTCTATTTTACTGGTAATCATTTTTGGAGAGTTTCTCCAAATTTGAAGAATTTCACTCTTTTTCTCTTGTAGAAGGTTTTAGAGAATCTATTGGTTGGCTTGGTGAGGGTGATGGCCATGCCGTAGCTCTCTTCCTTGTCCTTCCTTTTTGCCTTTCAAAAAAAAAAAAAAAAAAAAAGAAAAAAGAAGGTTTTAGAGAATCTGTTGGAGTAAAAATCCCCAAAATCTTCATTTTAAATGATATGTTGGAGACGTTCTACTATAAATCACACATTATAATAAATTTTATAATTCTCCATTATATCACCTTATAGCACACCATCTTGTTCTCCTCTCCTCAATTGCTTCAATCATTTCATTTGCCACTTTTGCCTTCCATCTACCAATATATGATCATAACAAATATATTATAAGTATTTCATTCAACATAAAAAAGCAATAATCTACCATAAAAAAAAAGTCAACAACAATGACCGATCCAACCACACCCCCATTCACCATCATGCAGACTTAACACCTTTGATGTTATTAGGGCTCATTTCAGGTATATGCTGTGGCCTGTGTCTAATGATTTCATGGAACACATCATTTTTAGATATAACGGATTGAATATCCAGGTTAATAAAAAAAAACCACAAACATTGAAAAACAACCAAAAAAAAATTGAAAATGACCATTGAAGTCAACTGATTATATTGAGCCCTTGATAATAGTGACTCTAACCCACCACAAAAAAAACATGTCATTTTTGTTATTTCCGTAATTTTTTTAAGATAACATATAAATAAGAAAATTTGAATGAAAATGGAACTAATTTTGAATTTATTTTTATTTTGGGAAATAAACTTTTAAAACTACAAATTTAGGGTCTCAAGTAACTTTATATCTATATAAAAGTCTTTATTTAAGGTTCTTGATTACTTGTTCAGCAGATAACCGATTACCACTAGATTAGTGACTAGATGATATGGCATGAGAAAAAAAAAGAAAAACAAATGTTGACATGGATAATAGAAAAGGCACGATCAGAAAGTTTTATAGATTTGTTCCACATGGTTGCTTTCCAACACAACTCTCCCTCAACCCATTCCATCTTCATAAGTCTCCGACAACATCCCCATTCCAGCAACCACCGTCATTTTTTCACATCTCCTCCACTAGCCACCGCCACTGTAAGGATGGCCTTTTCAGACCCTTTTCTTCTGATCACACATTGGTCTCACCTTCGTCCCTCATTCCACATTCTCCTAAAAACTACAACCCAAACCTCCATGAAAGATTCAAAATACAAATTATCCATCGAGAAAATCCCAATACCAGAGGAAACCCACATTCCAAATTCTCTTAAAAATGACTTTTTGGTTGAATCTGATGAATAGATACCCTAAAATTCCTAAACCTAAATCACCTGAAAGAATCATGAGGCTTGACATTAGAAGAATCATGGGTGGATTCCATATATGTTACGGTGTTGGTATCTCCTCATATTCCTTGCATATGGCCAAAAGAGAGAAGGCATTCAACAATGGTGAAAGATCCTTTTGGTTGTCAACTAAAGCTACCGATCAGGAAGCAATCAGTAGAGGGATTTCGTGTGAATGGGACCTGGTGGGACTCGGGCTTGTGTTTTGACATTCCTTATTCGATGTAACGATGTTGCAAAGTTTTGTACTTTTATCCATTTTCACAGCAACCTTCTAATCCTGTAACAATTGATTTGATGACGTGAATGTCAATTTTATTGTTTAGTTTGTGGTACCCTTTATTAAACAGGGATCCACGCCATTAAATGTTGCATGATCACTACAAGATAATTTTCTTTGAATCATTAAATTTTTTCTTGAGATATAATTATACATCAAAATACAAAGCTTATAATTTACAGTTGATTAACACACTAAACAAACAAATATCACAGGAATTTAATACTATCATAGTGCAAGATAGGTAACTATTAACCTATACAGGAATTAATCATTAAATAGATAGAATAAGAATAATCATATGATACGCATACACATACAGTAAACTAGAAAATCTTTGATCCTATAAATCTTTTGGATTAGGTATCCACTCCCTTTCATTGACCTCTCTACTCTCACCAAATTTTATCCCAAAATGGATGAATCAAGCAATCAATAAGTTGTACATAATTGATTTGGAAAGAGAAATTTTAAATAATATATGCATGTTCCTGTTCCTGAATTGAATTATCAATAAGAAGCTTAATAAGAGTTGGTTTGAATAATGGGTATCCCCTCTTAAGCATCAGAAGTACAAGAAGACATCACGTAGTTAGGTGTTGCGGAGTCCAAAAGACGCACTTAGTACATTTTGACGAAGTCCAGCGTGCAGTCTCTCCGAAGAATAAGCACTCCGACACACTTGACGTAATTACTACTTGTGCTCTCGCATGTTAATTTGGTCTTCATTTTAGTTTTCTCCTTTACAATCACAGGAGTTATTTAATGGGACTAATGGGTATATAGTATATACTGTGATGCAGTGTAACAAGAATGTGAGTTCATGACCTGTTTGGTACGCCAGAGAAGGCATTGCAAGGTCCGCAGAGCATCCGGTTGATCAAGGAAGACGTCGACAGTCTCAATTTGATTAGAAAAATACAATTTTCCAAGTCGAATCAACAATTAATATTGCATAAAATTTCAAAACCATATTAATTCTGAAATTAAAAGTTAAAAACTAAGAAAAATGAGACTAGCAAGATTCGAATTCAGGTCCGGGGTGGAATAAAAACATTGCAAACCAACTCTACGAAGGGAAAATTTGTGTTCTCATTGTAGTTTCATAATATATACGGTGGCACATAACAAATTGATACGGTGACACTTTTCACGAGCGTATAATTTTTTACGTTACGAAGGAGCAACAAAGCGGTGGCTCTTGCCACCCTATCTAATTCAGTGGGTCTGTCCCTGTATACTATTGTTTTCGTGTTTGAACTTCTAGGACGTGAAGTTTTGGGATATAAATTTTATGTCCTACGATCACCGGTTCTTCATCTATTTTGTTCATGTTGATATAACAAGTGGGATATAACACAGCATGACATGCACAAGGTTACATCATGTATTTTATTATTGGAATGCTATGGGCCTGCAATCTTACTTAGAGGAGCCGAAATTACCTCGCATAGATGATTTCGATGTGTTGGAGTATTGGAAACCACTTCAAGGATTGTATCCCATTGTTCTCAAATGGCTAGAGATGTTTTGGCCATCCCAATATCTAATGTTGCTTCTGAATCGGTTTTCAGTATTGGAGGACGAGTTATTGATGTCTATCGGAGTTCGTTGAAACCAGAAACCGTTGAATCATTGGTTTGTTTTAGAGACTGGGTTTGTAATGAAGGTAAAGTTTACCTGGTAAACATTTAATTTTAAATTTTTAACTTGCTCAGTTCTAACATTTGTTTTACTGATCAATTTTAGCATCAACGCATCCGGATGAAGAGGAGTTATGCGATTGGCTTTTAAGATTAAAGGATGACGATGACTGTGAAAAATCAAAGTCAGTCTTCAAACTCAACAATCCGGATAAATGCTTTGGACTTCGTTACAACTTAGAAGTTACAACTTTAAAGATTTTTGGGGTTGTGATATTTTAATGGTTTGGATTTTTAATGTTTTGGATTTGGATTTATTTGGATTTCTTATGTTTTCATTTTTCCATTTTTAGGTTTTAATTTTTTACATGTTAAACAGGTTAAGCGGGTTTAACGGGTTAGTGGGTCAAACGGGTTAGCGGTTTAAGAGAATAAACGGGTTAATTGTATCTTGCCGCGTTAATCGGTTAAATCAGGTCGCGTTCAGGTTGAGATTTTCTGACCCGTTTAACTTTGAACCCGACACGACACGCTTGTCAGGTCTATGTTTTATTGTGAAGTTTCAAGAGTAAAAAAATGTTTTCACGGGTTTCACAAAAGTAGTCTGGTCTCACATGATTCAAGTTTAAGTTTGTATTTAATAAAAAGTAGTTTACCAAATAATCTATATTATATAATAAAGCATTTGACAAAAACTCTTAAAAACATCTTTTATACATGAAGTACTCCTTATTGATGCATATTATTTAAAATTTAAGATTACAAGTAAATTGTGTTTAAGTACAACTTATTAAGCTTTATGTTTGAATTCGTATAACTAACTGTAGATAATATAATCAAATACATGATAAAATTCTTATTTTAAATATAAAATTTATAAATAGAATAATTGTTGAGTTCTAACAGAATATTTCATCATTAATTTTATAAAAATTATATTATTAAACCAAAATTAAATTACTTCGTTATTAAACTTAAATTAAATTTTAATAAAAAGATTGAATTAAATAAATTACATAAAAAATAGAACTTTTATATATATTTTTTAATTTTTATGATAGCTTTATATTTATATTTTATTAAGAAAAACATTATTATTTGCTCAAAACCACATAAATTCGTATTATAACATCGATAAAGACAAATAAAATAAAATAAAATATTAAAATCAAAATATATCTCATTGTATTATACGATTACCTTACTAGTATATTAAAAACATTTATTTGTATAATCCTATTATTGCCTTTCCACGTAGTACATGAATCAAATGGACCCATTGACATATACGCCAAGGAGACCAGGGAAGAGGGTGGACTCCACCGCCCACAACTACTCCTATCCCCTTCTCATTTAATCACGTGCATCTACGCGGTGCTTTTTCATATAATTATGAAAAAAAAATGTTAAAAAAATCCCCAACTTTCGAATAATTGAGTCTTTTAATCATTCTTTAAATGAATAATTTTTTATATTTTTTAAATTGAAAAAATAAACTTTTGAAGAGAAAAAAAACAAAGAATTATTTTATTTTAAACGAATAAATATTTATACTTGTAAATATAAATAAAATATAGTATATATATTTCAATATATCACAATCAATGAAAAAAATACAAGAAATCAAAAAAATGAAAGAACATTTCATTTTTTTCACCATCATCTATTTTTCACATTTAAATGACAATAAAAGTATTTATTATGATATTGTGATTATCATTTCAATCTAAAAAATAAATAAATATTAACTTCTTTTATGATTCTCATTTAGATATAGAAAATAGATAATGGATAATAACTAGAAACGGTATTTAATCAGTTCTTTTTATTGGTTTATTGTACTTTGTTATTGATCTACTGATATATCGATAAATAAAATGTATATTTCTTTCATTTTGTAACGGTAGAGATTTGGTTCAAAAAACCAGCTAGAGACTTAATCATTCAAATTTGAAAGTTCGTTTGGTTTCTTTGTTTTATAAAAAGATTAAAGAGTTATTTGTTTGGTTTCAAAAAAATTCAAGGATGTGTTTGTTAAAAAAATCATCGACTTGATTATTCAAAATATAAAAGTTTATTGGGGTTTTATTAAACTTTTCCGTATAATTAACAATCAATTTAATGTAAACAATAATGTCCAACATAACACCATATTATATATTAATTGATTCGCAAATAAAAAACTTTGGGTCTAAAGTCGAGACTACTCACATTTTATAGGACGCGAGAAACCATTTAAATAAAAATTGGATGACCAAACTTTCACAGCAAAATATTGTATCGTCACAACTTTCACAATGTTTCTCTTATGAAGATTCGGTCATCCAACGACTCCAAAAAAATGATCATCGCGTGGATTAGTGCATAGACAGTTGAGCCCAAAACTGAAACTGGCCATAAAATCAGCAGTAACCTGTTAAATTGGACCACTCGTTCCAAAGCCTGGCTAAGGGGACTAGTTCGGCCATAAAATGCTCCCATGTTACCATTTTTGAGCTGAGCCGGTTGAAATAAGTCCAAAAGATGCTCGTTTCAAGCCAAGTCAAATAAGGGTCGTTTAACTAAAAACTTACCTAGTAAACGTTTATCAGTAAACTTCAACATTATTGTTTACTTACCGAGTAAGATTTTATTCACCAAAACACATCGTATGCAACAATTTATCCTGTTAAGCGCTAACCATGGTAAGAGTGGTCGCTCTCACTTACCGGGTAAGACTCTCGATTCTTGCCTTCGCTCTTACCAGGTAAGTGGTAAGATTCTTAGTTCTTGCCATATTCATCTGATAAAGTAATGTGACTTGGTAAACGCTTACCCGGGTAAGCGTTTGGTAAACGGCACCTAAGTAAAACTAGAAAAAAAACCGGCTGGTGTCAAATCCTCTCTAGGATCACCAATTACAACAAAATTGGGTTTATATGACGTCAAAAATATTCAAGTGTACTTATAATAATACTTAAATTTATAGGACAAAACAATAGAACATCATATCAAAAGAGTATTCTAATAAGTTTATATGACGTTTTTTGATATTTTAGCAAGTTTTTTATATGACATTTTTTACATAAAGCATCGTATCAATTATTTTATAATACAATTTTGAGAAGTATCTTATAAATATATCTTTTATTGGACGTTTGTTTTTCTAAACATTTTTTCAAATAATGTCTTATAAAATAGCTAAAAAATGTTTTGTTTTAAAAATGTGCTAAAAAACCTTGTTAAGATGTCCAAAAACATCATATAAATCTATTACAACACTTTTAGATAAGAGGATTTATTGTTTGATCTTATAAATCAGTGATATAAAAAAAATTATAAGAGCACTTAGATATTTTTAACGTTTTATAAACTCAATTTTATTATAATTATTAGATGTTGAAACCTATCCATCTGCATTTTTGTTGTGGATAAACATTAGCATTTATGCATTTTTTTTCTATATCTTTTCGGATTTTGAAAAACCTGTGGTCTCGTAGTCTATCTTTTTTGGCCATTTTCAATGGTTGGTTAGAGTTCATCCAAGAGTCAGTGTTATTAATTGATTTTTATTGTCATTTTCAATCATTATCGTGATCGTTTTAATGTTAATAAATACAAGACATGTTTTTTTTCATTTAAGACTTCAAATCTTATGGTACCACCATGACATGAACATTTTGTCGATTGGTCATGTAGACGATCAGATCTTTTATTCTAGATTTTTGGAATTTTTTACACAACCTAAAGCACATTATTAGGTTTAAAACTCATATTTGGGTATCATCTTCTGAGACATGTGATTACAATCTTTCTTTCTCTTTAACACCATTTAAATATAACTGACAAAACAAAAATGCTCTTATTAATGTTTTGCCATTTCGTTGAACGTAACATTCTACTACCAAAATCACAAGGATGGTGTCTGATTGGTTTGAGCTTTGCTCCAAAGGTCAAAAGTATAAAGAGGTCTCAGGTTCAAATCCAAGCAGAAATAAAAATCCCCTTATGACGAGAGAGGTTCAAATGCGGTGACTCCGGGATATCTGCAAAGCAAGTGGTCGTCTTGGGATTAGTCGGCTCGCATACCGGGTTGGATATCCAAGTTAATAAAAAAAAACATTCTACTACCAATAGAAATATTTTGGCCATCGAATGCAACATCATCAACAACAACAAATTTATTGTAGCTTCAACATGAAAATCAAAAAGATTTGGCCAAGAACTAGATATAAAATCCATGATATAATTATACATGAATATACAAAGCTTATTCATAGTTTATTAATGCCACACAAAACAAAAGGAATCCATAGGATCCCATATATGTGATCACAGTGCAATATATAGGGAATTGAAACAAATACCGGTGACCTAAAGTTGTTTATTCTTGCGGATTATACATCTTCATTGGAGTTGTTGAGGTGATGGTTCTCGATATCTTCATTGAACTTGTTGAGGTGATGGCTCTTTGGTATCTTCAATGGAGCTGGTGAGGTGAGGGTTCTCGGTATCTTCAGTGGAGTTGGTGAGGTGATGGTTCTCGATATCTTTGGTGACTCTAAGGCAAAAATCCATCAGACTGTCTGGATCTTCAACCTTGTCATTGAGCTTCTCGTAATGAAAAGTCCAGGTCACCACGTTTTCTTCTCCGGTGGTCTCCACATGAACTGTGATCAAGAAGGTCTTGTAAGCCTCCAGTATATCTCCCCCTATCACCTTGAAGCACACCAACTTTTTCTCCTCGTCAATTGCTTCAATCACTTCTTTCGCAACTTTTGCCTTCCCATCTATGTATCATATATAATTACAAACCATGTAAATTTAACAAACCGTATACATATATATATATATATAGACTTGGGATCATGTGAGACCAATGGTTTTTCGTGAGACCTGTAAGACCAATTCTCAACCCTTGGATTAGATCTATAATATGAAAATCTAAACATTCATAAACGTCATGAGATTTCTCAATAATCACAAAATTGCCACCGTGTAATTTAGACCGTTAGATCATTAACTTATGAAGTTAATCAATAAACATAAATTGGTCTTACAGGTCTCACGAAAAACCTTTGGTCTCACGTGAACCCAACCCTATATATATATATATGAACATAAATTGGTCTTACAGGTCTCACGAAAAATCTTTGGTCTCACGTGAACCCAACCCTATATATATATATTTATAAGTATACATATAGCTCAGTTAGTTAATTCGAACATAATTAAGAAATTATATTTACCATGAAAAAAGTCCCATACAATGACCGATCCAACGACACCCCATTCACCTTCATGCAGATCAACACATTTGATATGATCAGGGCTCATCTCAGATATATGATGTGGTCTCTGTCTAAAAATTTCATGAAACACATCTCCGTCTGATTTGATGGTAACTTGCTTAACCAACGTACCATTTAGATCTGCCATCTCTCTAACAGTAACTCCCTTAGTTTACGAAAGAAGCAAATCAAGAAGAGAATGAGGAAAAAGATGCGAGTTCATATTCATTTATATTGCCTTTCACTTGCTCTTTACTCCCTATAGAATACATAATGTACATATTGCTTCCCTTGTCCCTTTTTCTTTTTCTTACTACTTTCTTATTATTTATAAAATTATATTTAATAATTAAATCTATATTATATTATAAATTATTTGACAAAAACTCCTAAAAACCACTTTTATACGTAAAGTACTGTTTATTAATGCATATTACTTAAAACTCAAAATTACAAATAGATTGTGCGTATGTAAAACTTATTAAAGCTCTATATCTTAATTCATGTAACTAACTGCAGATAAACATAATCAAATACATGATAAACATCTTATTTTAAATATAAAAAATCTAAAATATAATTAGGATAATCATTGAGTTCTAACA